GACTGAGCTGATGATAGCTACAGGGCATCTGTGGTCTATTCAGTTCATTTACATTCGACTGTTTCTAGCATTTTGAAGTTCATAAATGACAGAGTTTAAATCAAATAGCTGTTCATAGAGAGATCTACTAATGACAGCCTTAATGAAACATTCCACCATCAATGCGAGCATCCTCTCCTTTTGCTTCCACAAAGGTCCCTGGATAGAATGGAGTCAAACTAGAAACATGAATACAAAGCACATATGTAGGGAACAGATGTGGCCTCACAAAAACTGTCTATAAGAATATTCTATGAGAACCATCAGGCTCATACCTCACAGAAATAGGGATTTCTTGAGTTTGACCAGTTGTAGTATGGCATGGTGTTTAGAGTGATGGAGAGGGAGTCAGGAAGACCTGGGTTCCAACCTTCCCTCCATCACTTATTAGCCCAAGATACTTCATAGTGTCACCCTAAGCAAGTCACCTAACTTCAGTGAACCCAAGTTTCCTTATTTGTAAAATGAGAGGGGGTAGACTTTCACTTCTTGATCCCTCCATTCCAGGCTCTCCAGAATCCTTTCTCCACCATAACCAGTAGTATTCTTACCCTGGAATTCACTCCACCCCAGCAGCCTTGGCACTCTGAAAGACACCTTTTTCCCTGTGTCTCCTTCCTCTAGCCTCCATTTTAAGGAAAATGTTTTGGCCAGCCACGTTCATTCTTTCAGTCCTCTCTAAGATCCCCTCCTGACTCTCTAGATATTGTGCTCTACCATGTCCCAGAGCAGGTTCCTTCTCTTCCCCATCCTCTTAATGCTTTTCAGCTCCCCTTTATGTGTTGTGTCCTCACCCACCCCACACCCTGCAAATAGAATGTAAGCTCCCTGAGAGCCAAGACTGTCTTTCTTTTTCCTTGTATTTGTATTCCCAGTCCCTGTACTTAATAAATGCTGTGTGACCACAGACACGTCATTTAAGCCTTCCTGGGCCTCAGTTTCCTCATATGTAAAATGAGGCAATTGGACTAGTAGCTGCTGAGATTTCTTCCAGCTTTAAAGTTTATTATTGAAAGGCAAGACTGGCATGAGTCAATAATAAGGGAAAGTCTTCTGATTGGGATATTGTGAGCTGAGCAGAAGGGTAATCATTCCCTGGAGTGCGTGAAAATGTGGTTTGAAATGGGTGAGTTGAGAGAGGTGATGTAAAGGCTGTACTGATCAATTACAGGAGTGATTATAGAGTGCTGATATCCAAGAAGTGAGAACAATTGGACATTTGGAACCAAACAGAATCCTAAGCTTAGGGTTTCTGCTGACACGTCAGACAAAATTCAAGGAATGTCATGGAGTTGATGTTTTATCAAACCTCAAATTACACTCTGGAAACTTAAGTCTTTCTGTTTCTTTTTTTAAGAAATCTTGTTTAATATTTTATTTTTCTCCAAATACATTAAAATCAATTTTAACATTCTTTTTTTTCAAATTTTGAGTTCCAAATTCTCTCCCTTCCCTCCTCTCCCCTCATTGAAAAGGCAATTAATTTGACATAGGTTATACATGTGTAGTGACACAATCCACATTTCTGAGTAGGTAATTTTGTGAAAGAGAACACAGACCAAAAAAAAAAAGGTCAAGAAAAATAATGTAAAGAAAAAGTATCTTTGATCTGCATTCAGGCCCTACCACTTCTTTCTCTGGAGAGGGATGACACCTTTCATCATAAGTCCTACAAAATTATCTTGCGTCATTGTGTTGCTCAGAACAGTGAAGTTATTCATAGCGGATAATCATACAATATTACTGTTACTGTGCCCAATGTTCTCCTGGTTCTACTCATTTCATTTTGCATCAGTTCATGTAAGTATTTCCATGGTTTTCTGAGAGCATGTTGCTCACCATTTCTTAAAGCACAACAGTATTCAGTCACAATCATATACAGACCTAGTAGTCAAAGGATATGTATGATTTTAGCCACCACAAAAAGACCTGCTATAAATATTAGCATATAAATAGGTTCTCTCTCTCTCTCTCTCTCTCTCTCTCTCTCTCTCTCTCTCTCTCTCTCTCTCTCTCTCTGTCTCTCTCTCTCTCTCTCAAAATCTCTTTGTGGTACAGATCTAGTAGTTGTATTGCTGGGTATGCACAGTTTTATAGCCCTTCAGGCATAGTTCCAAATTGTTCTTCAGAATGGTTTGATCAGCTCACAATGCCCACAACAGTACATTAGTGGCCTAGTTGTCCCACATTCCTGCAACATTTATCATTTTCCTTTTTTCCTCATATCAGCCAATCTGATACACGTGAGGTGGTATCTCAGAGGTGTTTTAATTTGCATTTCTCTAATCAATAGTGATGCAGAACATTTTTTCATATAACTATAGATAGCTTTGATTTGTCTGAAAAATACCTGTTCATACACTTTGTCCATTTATCAATTAAGGAATGACTTGTGTTTTTACAAATTTGAGATATGAGGCCTTTTTCTGAAAAATTTGTTGTAAAAATGTTTTGCCCCAGTTTCCAGTTTTCCTTCTAATTTTGGTTGCATTACCTTTTTTGTAAAAAAAAAAAATTAACTTCAAATAATCAAATTTATCCAGTTGACATTTCATAATGCTCTCTATATCCTATTTGCTAATAAATTCTTCTCTTATCCAAAGATCTGACAGGTAAACTATTCCGTGTTCCCTAATTTGCTTATGGTACACCTTCATGTACAACTCACATACCCATTTTTACCTTATCTTGGTATATGATGTGAGAGGTTGGTCTATACCTACTTTCCGCCATACTGTTTTCCAGTTTTTCCAACAGTTTTTCTTAGATAATGAGTTTTTGTCCAAAATGCTTGGATCTTTCAGTTTATCAAACATTATATTACCACACTTATTTACCACAATGCCATTGATCCACCACACTATTTCTTGGCCACTAACAGATAGTTTGGATAATTACTGCTTTATAGTACATTTTGAGATCTTGTGCAGCTAGACTACCTTCCTTCACATTTTTTTCCTTAATTCCTTTAATATTATTGAACTTTTGTTCTTCCTGATGAATTTTGTTATTACTTTTTCTAGCACTATGCCATATTTTTGTTAGTTTGAATGGTAAAGCACTGAATAAGTATATTCATTTGGCTAGAATTGTCTTTTTTTTTATTATATCAGCTCCACCTACTCATGAACAATTGATACTTTTCCAATTTTTTAGATCTGATTTTGTGTGAAAAGTGTTTTCCAATTGTGTTCATATAATTCATGAGTTTGTCTCGGCAGGTAGACTCCCAAGTATTTGATATTGTCTACAGTTTTTTTTAAATGAAATTTCCCTTTCTATTCCTTGCTGCTGGATTTTGTTGGTAATATATAGAAATGCTGATGATTTCTGTGAGTTTGTTTTGTATCCAACTTTGCTGAAGTTATTAATTATTTTAACTACTTTTGGAGTTGATTCTCTGGGATTCCCCAAATATACTATCCTATCATCTTCAAAGAGTGATAGTTTTATTTCTTCATTGCCTATTCTAATTCCTTCAATTTATTCTTCTAGTCTTATTGCTATAGCTGGCATTTCTAGCACAATCTTTAATAATAGTTATGATAATGGGGATCCTTGCTTCACCCCTGATCCTCTTGGGAAGGCTTCTAGCTCATCCCGATTTCAAAAAATGCTTGCTTTTGGTTTCACATAAATACTATTTATCATTGGCAGAATGTTTTAGTAGCTATTTATGTTACTATAGCTTCTCAGTAAATGCCCTTTCTAAAAGCTGAAAGTTGATTGATATGGGAAGACGCACTAGATAGGGGCTCATGAACAGTTATAGAAACTACAACTCTTTAGACAACTCTAGAAATCTGAGGGAAGAAGTAATGTTCTTACCTCTGGGAAGCAAACCTGTCAGTGCTAAGTGAGTTTGGAGAGTGAGCTCCAGGGGGAGTGCCATAGGTATTTTTACCTTTCATTCTATCTTCAGAATTTATGACAGTATCTGTCCCATAGCAAGAGTTTAATCCATGCTTGTTCATTGATTTATTGTTAAGTACATAGGAAATGGAATTGATTGATTGATTACTGAATGAGAATTTGAACACAAGTTCTATAAATCTAAATATACCACTTTTTATATAATATCACACTATCTTGGTAGGAGTCTTATGGAAACTTTCCCAGCTTCGAGGCTGCCCTAAGTTGAAAGTGGGAGGGGCAAAAACTCTCATTCAGTTATTACTTCAAGGATACCAAAGAAATGCTTAAGCTGCCCATATATTATTTCTCATTCTCACTATCTGACTGAGCAGCCTCATTCTCTCCACCATATAGATGCTTGCTGTATTTTATGATACTACCTAACTGAAAGTCAGCATCACTGGTAAATATGCCACCTTGTACCTGTTAGGTATCTTGGCATTATTCCTTGGGTTATTTGTAATCGTGATCCTTCCAACATTGAGGGCCCAAGATTCTCATAGATTTGGGAGGTGAGTAGGAACAAACAAAAAAAACATATACTGTTTGAGCTCCAAAGTGTATGAATTAGGAAATATATGCCCCAGAGACAGATCAGAGAGTAAGATCCCACTTCTAAAGTGAATATGGACATTGTTTCTTTAAAAAGAAAAGGACAGATCTGTTTCATGCTATAAGACAATATATTTTCTTTGGGAATCAATCAGACAGCAGGTTAGAGGAGGTATGGTCACAAGCTAAATGCCTAGAGGATCTCGGAAGCCACTGAGATGGCACTTTGTGGTTTGAATCAGTGTACCTAACACTTTACAATACTTTCAATATAATTGAGATCTAAGGTAATGCTCACATGGTTCCCAGCCCCTGCTCCTCTGAATTCCAAGTAAAGGTCAATTACTTCAAGCCTTGACAAGTTCCATTGGAATACAATGACTTTGGCAGCAATATCTGGAGGAAGAGATGGAGTTATTAACCAATATACCATCTGACTTTACAGACTACAGAAGAATTGTCTTTCCGTACAACAGTAATCATACAGGTAAGCTGGTTCACAATTTCCTTGCAGTTGCGTTTGTCATAGTCTACAGGCCTCATCAACCTATTGGTGGAAAAAATTTGGGAAAAGATTAGAGTGGTCTTGAAAAATGATGAATAATTTATTAAGACTCTTACCCTTATTCCAGAAAGCCTCTGGTCATGTACCATGTGTCCTCCCCAACCACCTAATGAGCCATCTCAATCTACCCACAAGTATAGATGGAGAATACATCAGGTCTTAGGTGCTAGTTAGTGTGCACTAAAGCCCAGGGTCACAGTTAATAAGTGTCTGATTTTGGATTTAAATAGAAAAGAATAACAAGTCCTAGATTTCAAACTGGAATGGACCTTAGAAGTCACCAAGTTCAAACCCACCCCCTTTTTTTAAACTGATGATGAAACTGAAGCTGAGATTGCCCAAGATCACACAGATAACATGTATGTGCCTGAGGAAGGATTTTGACTCAGGTCTTCCCAACACCAAGCCCAATGCTTCATTCAGTGTTTCCCCTAGAGAGGTTAAAGTCTTGTTCTACTCTTTCCTGGTTGGATCACATCCAGAATATGATGTCCACTTCAGAGAGTAACATTTTAGGAAGGAAACTGATCATCTGGGGCACATTCACAGTAAAACAAAATGTGAATGAAAAATAATGTCACAAAAAGATCAATACAGGAATCATAGCCTGAACCTTCTGTCACAGGGAAGAGGGAATAGACTCTCTCAGCTTGCTTGGCCTCAGGGGACAGAGCTGAGAGCTGGGGATAGAGGCTGAGAAGAGTCTGGTTTTTTTTTTTTAATAAGTACGATGGGAGAAAAGCTTCCTAACCATGAGAACTCTGCAGAAGGAAAAAGAGCTGCCCTCACTGAAGGCCTTCAAACAAAGGTCTATTGGGAATTTGTTAAGTAGAGGTTTCTGGTTCTCAGATGGATTCTACTCCACAGTCCACAAGATCCCTTCCAGCTCAGAGATTCTGTCATTTTACATCTGTCTATTTAAGGTCAGCCTTGAACTCACATGCTGCAGCACTGTATTCCATATATTTCATCACATGTACAGAGGTCACATTTATTTAGCCATTGACTGCCAAACTCACGCATCGTACCATCAACATCCTTGCAACCTAAGATAGAACATGTGGCAAATCTTCTGTTAAACTGCAACTGATGCCTCTAGAAAAAGATTTTACTAAATACTTAAAGCCACCTTGAATTGTACCACACTAAACCATCCTAACAATGGATAATCTGGGCCACTTTTAAAGATCTCCAAAGAAGCTTCTACCATTTCCCTTGGCAAACTCCTCCAACAATTAACAACCCATTCAGTTAAGAACAGCTCTCAAGTCATTCCCCAAAACTTCAACGTGACAACTGGAAACATCTAATACACTAATTTGAAAAATAAGTGATAACAGAGCAATGGTTAGATATAAGCTCCATGAAGGCAGGGACTTTTTTTAGGATTTCTTTATTTTCCATCTTTCTTTCCATAATTAATTTCTTCTTTGTAGCTACAATCTTTTGCATACAGTAGATGGTTAATAGATGCCTGTTGAATTGAGTGATTAAGTATCTAAGTGCTCGAGGCACAGAGAGGGCTATAGTTTGCCCAGCATTACAAAGCTTGTCAGAAACACGATTTAAATCCAGATCTTCCAAACTTCAATCCTAGCTGTCTAATTACTAATGCATGTTACTCCTTAGAAATATATCATATGAAGAACATGAGGACAGACTCTTAATTATGTGATAGGAGGGAGATGATGGGGGAAGGACCTTACATGTATGTTTAGACAGGTGCCTCTTTTCTCCATCTCAGGCACATCTTTAGATTAAATCCATTTTGCTCACCTTTTGCTCACTACTTCCATGGGTCTTGGCTCCAATGGACACAGATAGGCCATTTAAGTTTGCCCCAGTCACTTTTCCTACTAACCAAATCCTCCTGTTCCTAAAGACAGGAAACAGTTGTAAACAAAGATTTACCTTGTACTGAACCCCTTGAAGCGATCTCCAAGCCAATAAATGTGCACTGAGCATCACAAAATGCCACAAAGATAGCCAAGGAAAGGAGACCACTTAGCATGGTTTTCTATTGGAAAAAAAAAAAGGAAAAAAATGATTGAAGTGGTTCAAGTGGGGAAATGGCTAAAATTTTTATTTTTTAAAGTTTTATAGCTGCCTTCACATTTTATTCCACAGTCACTACCCAATATACAATATCTTCCTGGCAATGGACTCTTCCTTTGTAATAGCAAAGTCTGCAAGGGGGCACAGTGAATAAGGCATTGAACATGGAGTAAGGAAGTCTTGAGTTCAATCTGGCCTCAGACATTAACTGTGGGACCCTGGGCAAGTCACTTAGCCTGTCTGCCTCAGTTTCCTCATTTGTAAAATGGGGTCAATATTTGCCTCCCAGTATTATTATAAGGATTAAATGAGAGAATATTGAAAAAGTGCTATTACCTAAAATAGTCAAGCAAAACCAACCAACTCAGTTAAACAATTATGCCTCATAGGATCCCAGGATCATAGATGTAGAACTATAAAGAAACTTAGAGATCATTGAGTCTAGCACCTTCATTTTACAGATGAGGAAACTAAGGCCTTGACAGGACCCTAACAAGACTCTGGCTTGGTCAGAGACCACAAGCTAGTGGATGAGGCTTGGTTCTAGCCTTTGTCATGCTGACTCCAAATATCCACTGTACCTCTGTTTATTATACCTTCTACATCCATAGTCACCCATTTTTTCTGACAAGAGGAGACAAATGCTGTGTGGCCCACAGCAAGCGACATTTTGCCTCTGCTTGCCTCAGTTTCCTGCATTGTAAAATAGAGGCAATAGCAGCTACTTCCCAGGAGTGTGGTGAGGATCAAATGAGATAGTCACTAAAAAAAACACTTAACATCGTGCCTGGTACATAGTAGATGTAATATAAATGCTAGCTCTTCTTACTGCATAAACCATATTGCATAATAGCATGTTAATGCTATTCCTAGTATTAATAAACACATTTTGTCTCCCATCCTTTGGAAACTAAATTGATCGTTGCATTTCATCTGAGATCAGAAGACTTTTAGCGGTTCTTTTATTTCCATTTCCATCAGTACACTGATTTTGTAAATTGTTTTCCTGAGCCTGCTTTCTTCTCTCTGCATCAATTCCTTTAGGTCTTTCCGTGTTTTTCTGATTTCTTCATATTTGTCATTTATTAAAGGACAATAACGTTCCATTACACAACTCCTGGGTCACTGTCTTCATAGCTGATTGTTGTTGCTGGGCTGATTCACAGGCCTGAATGGGAGGAGGTCCTGAGGAGTATTCATTCAGCAGCTGGTCTGGACTGACATCCACCTGCTCCATCATAAGAATATTGTGACTTGGAAAGTTTGCTAACCTTACACAACTGCATTAAATGAAGCTTGCTAACCTCACATCCCAAACACTAAGTGCAGCCAACCAAGGCACTTGTTGGGAATGTAGGAACTTCCTAGGTCAATCAGTAGTCAGAGAAGCAGGCCAATATTTGGTCAAATATGGAGTCCCATTGGCCAGCTTGGGCCTAGAAATAGGCTTACTTGGTGTTTTCTTGGCAGAGATTCTTTCATGCTTTGCATTTCCTTCTCCAGCTCATTTCACAGAAGAGGAATCAAGGCAAATAGAGATTAAATGACTTGCCCAGGCTCACATAGTTAGGAAGTGTCTGAGGCCTGATTTGAAATGAGGTCTTCCTGTTTCTAGACCCACACTCTATCCACTTTGTCACCTAGTCTCCCCTTCTCCAGCAAAAAAAAAAAAGAAGAAGAAGATAAGTTGAGTGAGATTTATTTTATTCCTCTTCTTAATCTTCCTCCTTCATTCTAACTTGGTATAGTACAATCTGGGCATATGAATGGCTCCTTTTTCATGTTTTTCTAAAGAAAAGCCCAATTAAACAGTGTGAGTAAGATGGCTAGCTCACCCTTAAGATCTCACTTATCAGTCTAGAGAGACTTAGATTTTTAATTCTGATTGTCACCATTTCAATATTTATTTCTTTTAAACCAATTAAGTTTTAATGCCACAAAAATTAAATTTAACAGTTTGAGGGGCACACATTTAATCCCCTGTGTGTCACTTTAATGTATGGCTTACTTAGTGGGAGACAAGTTGAGTAAATTTTGGGTCTATACATAGCAGGACAATTTAGTGAGATTCTTTTGTGCATTGGAGCAAGGAGATTTTGTCAGGTGCTTTTAACTTTTGAAGGGGCTGAGAAAGATGGTTCACATTTACAGGTTGGTGGCAGGGGTTGATGGGTGTGAGGAAAGGCTGAAATGAGCTTCCCAGCTTATCTTAATAGTTTTGGAAGACAATAATAATATGGCCAGCACCATATATAATAATACTATGACACATATGTACTATATATGTTTATGTAATAGCTAGCATTTATATAGAAATTTAAGGTTTCCAAAGCGATTTACACAAATTATTTCCTGTGATCCTCACAACAATTCTGGAAGATAGGACTATTACTGTCCCCTTATTTCAAATGAGGAAAAAGCATAATTGGAACACAAGTTTTCCTGATTCTAGACTCAGCTCTCTATCCACTGGGCAACCAAGATGCCTTTGATTACTTGCTAATTTCCAGAAATTCACATCTGTATTTTGATTCATGCCAACTTATTAAAATTGTCAAGTTCCACAAATCCTATTAGCATAATGACTTCTCTGTCTTGAGTTGATTTCATCCACACCCATTATTTCATGGAGGAATAGATTCTTCACCAGAGGCAAAAATTCATCACAACCCTTACAATCATTGTATCCGATGCTATAATTCTTATTGGGTTCCTCCAATGGACAGCAGAACTGCCTCTGACTGGGAAGGGCCATGTCCACAGTTTTAGTTTGTATTTATCTCTTTCTGCATACTTGTTGCTACAATTTGTTCTGGCTGTATATGAAGTTTTTTCAACATCTCCAACATCAGATTTGATATCTTCCCAGTTTCAACTTAAAATTGTAATGCTTCTGGAAAGATGATATTTGTAACTCATGAGTCCTTTGTAGTTATTAGAGTAGTTGGAGGGAAAAAATTACATGTATAGATAGACAGACAGACAAACAGACAGATAGATAGATAGATAGATAGATAGATAGATAGATAGATAGATAGATAGATAGATAGATAGATAGAGGGCACAGGGTAAGTTGAAGATGAAGGGGTGATATCTGAAGAATAAAATTAAGGGGGGAGAGAGGACTATATGGACAGGAGAAAGGGAGAGGTAGAATGGGGTAAATTATCTCACATAAAACAAACAAGAAAAGGCTTTTACAGTGGAGAGGAAATGGGGGGAAGGTGAGAGGGAATGAGTAAATCTTATTCTCATCAGATTCAGCTTACGGAGAAAATAACATACATACTCAATTAGGTATGGAAATCTATCTTACCCTACAAAAAATAGGGGGGGAGGGGACAAGAGAGCAAGAGGATGATGGAGGGGAGGGCAGATTGGGGAAGGGGTAATCAGAAGGAAACATTTCTAGAGAGGGACAGGGTCAAAAGAGAGAATAAGAATAAGTGAGGGACAGGATAGGATGAAGGGAAATATATTTGGTTTTTCACAGCATGACTACTATGGAAGTGTTTGCATGACTACACATGTATAACCTGTATCAAGTTGCTTGCCTTCTCAATGAGAGTGGGTGGGGAAGGAGAAAGGGAGAGAATTTGGAACCCAAAATTTAAAAAAAAAAAAAGATTTAAAAAAATTTGTTTTTACAAGCAACTGAGAAATAAGATATACAAGAAATGAGGTATAGAAATCTATCCTGCCCCACAGGAAAATTGAAGGTAAAGGGGACAAGAGAAGGGGGGTAAAGATAGAAGGGAGGGCAGAATAGGGGTATTCAAAATGCATGCCATTTTGAAATAGGGTGAGGGATGAGATGGGGAGAAAATTTAGAACTCAAAATCTTGTGGAAGTGAATATTGAAAACTAAAAATAAATTAATTAATTGTAAAAAAAATTGTAATGCTTCACAATTTTACTTCAATTCCAGATTAGCATTTGCCCCCTCCCATCTAATGATGCGTGTGAGGTGTCATTGTGGTCCAGGTTCTCAGCCCCAGCAAGGCTGAAAAATGCAAAAGTAGCCAACCTTGCCTTGGTGTCTTTTCAGGGGCTCTGAGAGAGTTCATGGTATATTAGGATAATAGTTCTAAAACCAGAAAGACCCTTAGAGGTCACATAGTCATAGGACAAGAGGGAGGGACCAGAGATAGTAGAGAGGAGAGTGAAGAAATCAAGTCAGGAGCATGACAAATACTTAAGGGGTTGCTTAAAGGACGGGTTCTTCACCTTTTTCTGTCACAGACCCATGGGGTTATCTGGCAAAGCCTATGGTCCCCTACTTAAAATCATGTTTTTGAGTGCATAAAATCGAGAGGATTGATTACAGAGGAAACCAAGTATAAAAAATTATATTTATGTATAATTGCTATGTATTTAATGTATATAATTGGAATAAATCTATAGAAAACTATATGACATGTATTTATAAATGCCATATAAAAGATGTCACATATAAATATAAATAAATTAAAATATATATAAATAATATACATATCACATAGAAATATATATTTCTATATGATACATATTTATATATCAATTATCCTGAAACCAATTATTCTTCAACTTGAGCCTTAGACATTTGCAGCCTGTGTGACCTTGGGCAAGTCATTTGGCCCTGTTTGCCTCAGGTTCCTCATTTGCAAAATGAGCTGGGACTTCCACTTCTGGGAGTCAAGATGGCAGAGTGAAAAGGTAGTCGCTCTCACTCTCCCCTCTCAACCTCTGAAAACCCAGAAAATATCACCCCAGAAAAAAAAACCTGAAAACACCTGAACTAGAAGAAAGATGAGGACCAGCAGTGCAGCAGCCCAGCAAACGGGTCTCCCAGTGCCTCAGCAGAAATAAGGCAGGCAGAACTACAAGGGACCCCAGGCGATAAGTACCCTGCAGCATTCATCTGAAAGGAGGTGAAGAGAACAACCTAAAGGTTTCCTAAAGCCCTGGCCTTGCTGATTCCAA